TTTCTCCTCTGTAACTAAATGGTTGCAAAAAAACCAAGATGTTCTGCTGATGACAATGTTGAAATCTGGGTAAAATTGGTCAGTTACTTACACTGCAGAACTGTTTATCTCTTTTTCAGAGAATATGTAGCTGATCTTTCATGGACATGCACAGGGACAAAAATAAGGAGGCAAATTCTATAACTCACAATTCTCCTAGTAAACACAGAGATATAAATATCCTGAACTAAGGCTATACTGAATATCTTTAAATGAAAACCTCTGATTTGCAGGACATAGTGATCTTTTGCAATGCAACAATTATATTGCCTTCAGAACACATTATTTTAAAAAGATGCCATAAAACAGACATAGGAAATCTTGTTGCCCAGTTCCTTGAGCTGGACATCACCAGGAGAAGCCTAGTGAAAAATGTGCCCTCCTTTTCATGGCTGGAGTTATTTGAAAAATGAGATTAGAAGTGCTCTTTCAGAAGGGGGATAAGAGTGAAAATGAGTTATTTGTCTGCCTGAGGCCTCTCTGTCCTATTCTTGTGTTTATTTTGGGGAGGAAATGAAAGAGTAAACATTGTGATATTAAAATTTAAACTCCAAGCCAAAGAGGTCAACCAAAAATAGAATTTTACTGTTTTTCATTCTACAAGAACAAAACCTTCTAGATTGTGGTTGGCCGCCTCCCTTCTTCTTTCCATTTCCTGCTGTCTTCTCAATTCTTTGTCACAATCACACAATATATTTTACCCTGACCATAATATCAATTGAGAAAACGTAGAGCAGATAAAGCTGCTGAGCCCTTGACTGGCAGCCGATGCTCTGTCTGCTGCCAAAGCAGCTACTACTGCTGTGATAAGGGTAAGATTCTAAGCAAACAGAGAGCCTTCTTATCTCCTCTGCTAAGTCTTGAACTCCTGAAGGAAAGGTTAAACATTTAACAAATACCTACAAAAATAAATAGATCCCAAGGCACTTTCTCTATAGAGAGATCAATAGAATTTCCGGGCCAACAGCTGCATTTCTGGAACTGCAGGCAGGAGACCGAAAGGGAGAAGCTTAACGTGTCTCTACTGAGCTGTGATAAATGGCTGGTGATGCATTCAGTGGGCTGGTCTTGCTCTCAGCTGACCTTCCTCAAAACTGGTGCCCTCCAGATGTTTTGATTACAACTATAAGAGCTCCAGGCCAAAGGAAGACAGAGAATTCTTCCCATCTGGAGTGCTGTTTTTGATTAATTCCATGAATCCATCATATTTCTCTATTTGCACTTCTACTCCATATTTCTATGGTGTTGGCAGCTTTCCACATAGGTCTGACCTTCCTTTACTTCAAGAAAGATTGAGTCTTTAGTCTAATTGAGTCAACTCAGTCTAATTGAGCCTTGGGTCTAATTCTGTCTTCTTAGGATTTAAAGGGCTGCTCTTCATTGTACTGCACCCATTGCTCTTTAACTGCTGTTCACTCACCTTTAATTTTCTCTGGACTAGAAGAGAAGACAAATTCCACACTTGCTTCAAAGGGAAATCTTTCATCTATGTAGGGAAGAAAAACAGAGAAATAGTTCAGTACATTTGGCCTGAACTGTGTTTAGCCAAAGTGTTCACCTGTCTTACATGTCCCATTTCCATATGAATTTAGTTTATAATTCTTTATTATAAGAAATGCAATAAACTTTCCTATCTATAATGCACTTGTCTAATAAGAGGATAAATCCAAAAAACACACTAAACTCACACAAAATATAAACACTGTGGGGACCATAAAGCATTTTTTGGCCACTTGTGACTTCAAGAATATTTTCAAGAGAAGAAACGAAACACAACCATCATGAAAACAACACATCCTGGGATAAGATGCAACTATAAATCACACCAAATTGCAGATGCATTTTAAAAACTGCATCAGTGCCCCCAGATGGATGCAATCCTGAACTGGATGTCTAACTGAATGTTTCTGCCAACAAGCTAAAGCCATTACCGCCAATTAAAAATTCCCCTTAGAGAACAATCCTAGCAATCCAGAACCAGATGCCATCAAGACCTCAAGAATATCAACGACATAATAATCAAGCAAGATAACAAAGCAGCAGTTGTCATTGCGAATAAGGTAGATTATGTCAAGGAAATGAAGAAGCAAATCTCCAACACCACATTATATCAACTTCACTTCTGACTTCTTACAACAACATATCAGAAATATGATGCAATCTGATGATACATTTCCCAAGAACAAACATTGTATTTACATGGAGAAACTGCAAGAGTCCTGATTAGGCATTTTCTACCTACTTGCCAAAATATACAACTCTAGTAACCCAGGCCATCCCATTATTTCAAGCATTAGAAAGATCACAACTGGAATGTCAGGTTTCATGGATCATACCATCAGCACTCCCAGCTGCATAAGAGATGCCACAGATTTCCTAAGAAGGCTGGACATCGTGGATGGTCAGCATCATTTTAGCCACCATGTATGTTGGTACACTAACATCTCCAACAAATATGGACTTCAGGCCATCAGGGAAATCATCACTGTGCCAAAGAGCATGCCAAAGACTGGGTTACTTTGTACTCACCCATAACTACTTCATGTTTGACAATGCAAATGAGTGGCACAGCTTGCAAATGAGTGGAGCAGCCATGGGCACATATGTCAATATGTCAATGTCCTTACAGCTGATCTAGAACATGTCTTGCCTCCTGAAATACTTCCTTTATTTGAAATTTACTGATGGCCTTTTCATGATTTAGACCCAAAGAATTTCTCATCAAGTTCTATCATGATGACCTCCATGCCCCCAGCAACCTCAGCTTCCACCTATCTATAGAGTAAGTCCTTTTCCTTGATGTCATACACAATGGACATTTAACTACCATCTACAAATTTGTAATCTACAAATCACCATGCAAGCCTTACATGCTTCTGGTTTCTACCCAGAAAACATGATCATCTATAGCCTAGACTAGGCTAGAACCACACTTGTTCTGAATCACTCAGTAATGCTTAATTGATGGAATTGAGCCAAGTTTCCCAAGACTGAACTGCCCACTCAGCAAGACCAATAAACTAATCAAAAGAGCCAAATCGATTCTCAGGGAGTGCCTATTAAAAGACAGACACATTAAAGCAGAAAGAGATATGTTAATAATTTACAGCTCATACTTTTTCAGACACTGGGTGGCAAGCTCATACTTGAATACAGACAACTTGAAGTAGATTCTCCAAGTAATAAGAAACAATAGGACCATGGTGCTAATAGAGAAGAAGACTGCTCCAAACCTAGATTTCTACTTTACCCCATACCTCCATCTCATTTACACCAACAGCACCACCATACGCCTCAACAAGTATATACACAAGTGACAGTCACTTTCTTGTGAGATGGGTGGCTATACAAACATAACAAGGTAGCGTAGCATAGCATAGCATAGCATAGCATAGCATAGCATAGCATAGCATAGCATAGCATAGCATAGCATAGCATAGCATAGCATAGCATAGCATAACGTAGCTTAGCCTAGCCTAACCTAACCTAACCTAACCTAATCTAACTAACCTAACCTAACAATCTATCCTATCCTAACATAACATAATGTAACATAACATAACGTAATGTAACAGAGCCTCTACAAGGTTTTCTCAAATGTAATAAACATGGTGCAAAAGAATTGAAAGACTTAAGTTGAAAATCAGGACTTCAAATATGGACAAAGTAATATCAGAACATTTTAACTTCCTAGGACACTGAAGATCTCTGTGATTATTTGGGAAAAACAGAGAATTTAGCACCGCGATTGAACAAGAAGTTGCTAGGCAGCATATGAACAGTTTCACCCTTATTGGGATTCATCAAATGTATGTAGCCAGCTTTCTTTTATGGGGCCCAAACCCTCTAACAGGAATTGAGCTCATGGACCCTTGCACCATTTAGATGACTACAGTTTCAGGCAATCTCAAAAGGTCTCAACAAACACAGTACTTTTTTTAACGTATTATATTTGTTAAATAATAGATTGCTTGTAATCTCCCTCACACGTAACCTGCATCATTAACCTGTTTCCCCTTCCCATTCTCTTACCCCCCACCTCATCCCAATTTAAATCCTACTTACTCTAGTCACTTCGTACATTTGATGATGTGGGCTGCAACTCCAAACAGCTTATGCCTTTCAGTAAAATGTGCCAATTGGAAAAAGTGCTATCAGACTCCTGGTATTTTGTACTACGTGCATGTAACCCTTTTGCCCCATATTAACATGCATGGCTGTTGGCTTCTCTGTTCCAAAATTCATCTCTCTGCTCACCTCTCCAGGCTTCATCCAACTCATCTTTGCTGAACCAGAGTTGGGTGCTGTGGATGGTACAAGTGTGAAACTGGACCCGAAACACAACATCTCGCTCTCCTCCCTGCAGCTGCTTATGGTAGCATTTCACCTGGAGAGGAAAGGATGACCAAATCAGTAGAAAGCATAGCTTTTCCAGCCATGTGATCTGGCTTTCTTGACTCTGTTCATTTAAGAGTAATAGTTATTTACAGACAGTGATCATAAACATACATTGCTTAAAAGCTCTGAATCATAAAAAATTCTTCTGTATTATTCTACATAGCAAAGCTATATACGGTAGCATATATATATAAAGTCTTCTGAATACTTATAGCAGACATGTCAAACACAAGGCCCGCGGGCCAGATGCGGCCCGTGAAGTGGTTTCATGTGGCCTGCAAAGCCATCCTGGAAACAGTAAGGGAACGGCCCCCTCTGCCTTGGCCCTGGCCCAGGCCAGCCGGGAGCCAATGTACAATTTTGTGGTGGCCATCTATGCTGAAACGCATTCAGTCTTAGCTCCATAAGCCCCCCCCCCCCACATGGCCTGAGAGGAACAGTGAGGCTCCTCCAGTGGACCATGCCTTGGCACTTGCCCTGGTCCAACCCCTTTCTGCCAGAGACCCTCAGATCTAGCCCACTCCTGCCCAGGCCCCCACAGGCACCCTTGACGCGAACGATGTAGAGCTGGCCACACCCACCCAGTAGGCCACACCCACTCCATCCACACCCACCCAGTAGGCCGCACCCACCCTGGCCACACCCACCCGGCCCCCTGAGGGCAACCGCAATGCTGATGCGTCCCTCAATGAAATTGAGTTTGACACCCCTGACTTATAGCAACAAGGCCCTACAGAATAGAAAAGGCAGTAGAGAAGGGCGATTTAACTCAATATTTTATGCAGATGGATATCATTAAATCTCATTTTTAACAGTGATTAAGGCAGCATGGTGAGCATGGCTAATGTGAAATCTCTCCTTTGCATTGGGCAAAGAATGTTGGGAAGATAGGAAGCTACTGAAAAAAGTCTTTCAAGTAAAAACTGAGCTATATATTTTGGGTTGAAAGTTATCTTTTTTTCTGAGGACCTTGATTTTTGATTTATTGTTTCAACTCTGACAGGGCTTTTTCATAATTAGTTGAAGTTCACACATTAAGTACACAAGCTACAGGATTTAAGTCTGAATTTAGCTCAGTTGTATGTGAAGATGTATTCTGTAAGGTTAGGGAACAAGATAAATCAACCTAGCCACATGCCTGCCTCTATATGGCCCCTTAAGCCATATTTCAACCTTGATGGATATCTGTTGGAGGAGGACAACCAAGGCTCTGAAAAAAATTAATTGAACAACGTTGAAGGCTTCCAGAACACAACTTGTGCAACACAAATGAGACAGCTCATCTTCCCTGCTCTATTGCTCTTACCTTGCTAGCAGAATCTGCATATTGCCACTACAATAAAAATTGTAAACTTTTTATGAAAATAAAAGGAGGCCAATCAATGGAGGTAGTGATCAGGGTTTTGGCTTTTTTTTAACAGAGTAATCCTGGGAATGGAATCAGATGTTGCTTTCAGATTAGGCAATATAACTTTTCACCTGAAGAAAAGATGGCCAGAGGTTACTGTTGGCAATTTCAACCACTTTATCGTAGGGTGTTGGATCAGCCCAGCATGTATTGGGAGAGTTCAGACTGTGTGCATGTCCTTCCCCTCTGCTCCCTGAGCTATTCTGTTTAGAAAAGCTGTTCAAGTCCCTCTTTTTCAAACTCAACTCTCTGTTGCACCTCTCAACTCCTGGCACCTTGTTACCCCGTTACCAGGCAGGTTCCAACGTGTGCCGTTTCCAGCTTTAGACTTGGGCCTTTGAAGCCCACCACCTCCCTGGTCTCAGGTATGAGTTGCATGATGAGCTTGGGCAGGTATTGGACTCAAAGAGATGTCACGATTCACAGGTTTAGTGCCCTTTCTAAATTCCCTGCCTGCACATGTTTGGTGATTGGTGGGCTTGAGTTTTAATAGATGGCTAAATCTAAGGGTCTGCCCATCAGTCAAAATCATCTCTGAATCACAGCAGTGCTCTCATTGGCTGACAGTTTCATGCCAGCTTGTGACATTCAGAAATAGGGGGGGGGGGGTCAGTAAAGCCAGGGGCTTAGCCCTGGGTTTGCTTAACACATTCTGCACAGCTGAACCAGTCAGCTAGTGGCAAACTAGAACAGACCCCAGGGAAGCAAATGTTGGGGACTGCCAACCTAAAAGTGGGAGGTAAGCAATTTCTGAACTCTGGGGAAAAGCCCCAGAGGCAGAAGGAGGACAGTATTCAAACTGTGCTCTCTGTCTTCCAAAAGAACTTAATGTTTCTGGCAAAATAAATAGCTACACCGAATAAATTTTAAAAATTCCAGATATGCCTGGTGAGTTGACATAAAAAATAAGCGCAAGCTGGAATCTTTAGCGATGAACATGTTTTAAATTTTTGAAAGAAGGGTACACAACTGTGACTCTCCAAATCAACTTCTGAAGTAATTTGAAGTGCACATTCTTGCCTAAGTATGCAAGAAATGCATAGCAAGTTCAGACTGAGAGCCACCTAACATAGGTAGCCTTTTAAAATAGGAATTCCAGTTCCCAGCAGGCAATATCTGGCATACTGAAAATTGGCTACTGATTGGCTTCTGCGAACTATTGGATTAAGCACACATATTTATCAAGAATCACTATACTTTATTTTATTTTATTTATCTAAAGTGTGCAGAGAAGAGGAACAAAGATGATAAAGGGTCCAGTGGTTAAATCATATGACAAATGGTTGAGGGAGTTAGGAATGTATAGAGCAGGGGTAGGCAACCTTGGCTCTTTTATGACTCGTGGACTTCAACTCCCAGAATTCCTGAGCCAGCATGGTTCAGCTTGGAAACCTCTTCCTTTCCCCTCAGCATGGCTGGCTCAGGAATTCTGGGAGCTGAAGTCCACGAATCATAAAAGAGCCAAGGTTGCCTACCCTTGGTCTAGTCTATCGGAGAGAAGGGGGGGAGGGGAGACATGATAACTGCCTTCCACTAGTTGAGGGGTTATTACAAAGAAGAAGGGGTTGACTCTAAGGCACCAGAGGCCAGGATAAGAAGTAATGCGGGGAAACTTGTTAAAGAGAGAGCAAACCTACAAATAAGAAAAAATTTCCTGACAGTGAGAACAATTAATCTATGGAGTAACTTGCCTCCCAAAGTTGTGGGTGCTCCATTACTAGAGGATTTTTCAAAAAACAGACTGGACAATCATTTGACCAGGATAGTATAAGGTCTCAAGATAGGAGCAGGGGGTTGGCCTAGAACAGGGGTAGGCAACCTTGGCTCTTTTATGACTCATGGATCTCCCAGAATTCCTTTCCAGCCCTAGGATTCTATGTTCTATTCATTCCCAGAATGATAAATACAAGGCTAATATAGAAGCCCCATTTCCATTATTTTCCTTTGTTCATGATTAAGATATTTGATGTTGCTATTTACTAGGCTTGCTGGATCCATAATAATAATAATAATAATAATAATAATAATAATAATAATAATAACAACAACAACAACAACAACAACAACAACAATGTTACTATGATATACCTTGGTTTTAAAATAGATCAATATAAAAATCACTCAATTTATAAAACGAAGAGGCTATATCTGACGCCTAATGCAGAATCTCTTCTGCCTGCAGCAAGCCCATTCACTTGGTAGTGTGTATTACAACACAGAGCATCATACTATTTGCCATTTTAACGTATAAGTTGGCAGGGCCATATATTGCACATGGATATCATACCATACCTAGTCTGGTTTTGCACTGTTCTAGGAAAGAGAATCAGAATCAGAATAGAGCTGGAAGGGACCTTGGTGGACTTCTAGTCCAACCCCCTTCTCAAGCAGGAGACCCTATACCATTTCAGACTAGTGGCTGTCCAGTCTCTTCTTAAAAACCTCGAGTGATGAAGCACCCACAACGTCGGAAGGAAAGCTGTTCCACTAGTTAATTGTCCTCACTGTTAGGAAATTTCTCCTTAATTCCAGGTTGCTTTTCTCCTTGATTAGATTCCATCCATTGTTTCTTGTCTTGCCTTCTGGTGCTTTGGAAAATAAATTGACCCCCTCATCTTTGTGGCAGCCTCTCAAATACTGGAATACTGCTATCACGTCCCTTCTACTCCTTCTTTTCTCTAGACTGACCATTCCCAAATCCTGCAACCATTCTTCATATGTTTTAGTCTCCAGGCCTTTAATCATCTTAGTTGCTTTTCTTTGCATTTTTTCCAAAGTCTCAACATCTTTTTTGTAATGTGGTGACCAAAACTGGATGCAGCATTCCAGATGTGGCCTTACTAAGGCTTTATAAAGCAATACTAATACTTTGCGTGATCTGGATTCTATGCCTCTGTTTATACAACCAAGGATCATATTAGTTTTTTTGGCTGCCGCCGCACACTGCTGGCTCATGTTTAAGTGATCATCCATTAGGACTCCAAGGTCCCTCTCACAGTCACTGTTTTTGAGCGAGAGGAAAGGAGGGAGGAAGGAAGCCTGGTGGCAACGTCACATCCCTTCTAAAATCTAGTTCTGCCCTTCAATCCTGACCTGCTGGCAACACTCACCATGACATCTCCCTTCAAGAGCAAGGCTGGCTCTAAGGTGATACAGATCTTCTGAGTTCCACTGGCCCCATGGAGGCTACTGCATGAACAGAGGAAATCATCAGGATTGTCGGAATTGAAGTTAAAAGGAGACTTTTAACTTCAGAGGCATCTTAGGTTTTTGATCTCATACTTACTAGATCCCAGAGGTATAGACCAATTGCATGGACTGGTAGATCTTTAGGAAAGGTTGATAACCTAGAAGAGAGAAGATGGGCCAGATGGATCAAAAGGGAAGAACCCACCTCCAGAAAACTGAAGAATTGCTGCAAATGGAAAATTTCTATCATAGAAATGGAGGAGCAGCAAAGGACATACACTCATAAGTCATATATTGGATAAAGAAAGACAGACACGTGTCTCCATTCCAAACGGAATTATGATTCTTTGCATCTGTATCTGTATTATGTCCCAATGATTTTTAAGAATTAAGTTTGAGTCCTTTTTGTATAAGAAAAAGGGAGGGGAAAATATGGTCAGGCTTTCAAGATTCTGTTATTACCATGTAAACTGAATCAGTGAATTTAAGCTCTAGCATCTCTTGGGGTGTCTGTTTCCTACATTTAAGGGCTGAAAAGCATTGGATTTAAAAGGAGGTAGAAATATGCACCCCTCACTTTTTCCTATCCTAAAATCCAGCACTTGGATCAGCAGCACAAAAGTTCAAAGGGAGGATCCCAGAAAGTTGCACCGCAAAGCACTGCTGCTTTATAGCCACACCTACCAATAGCTGCTCAGAAAGTAACACATCTTTATCAACTTTACCAGCCTCACTGGAGTAAACTGCTCAGTAAAAACACTGCTGTTGGGTACAGGAAATTAAAAAGTGATCTACTTTCCTCCTGTCTCAGGGACAAGAGCAAAACACTTCAATGAGTGTGTGGAAATTGCTCTAAGTCAAGGATCTATAATAAAGGTTCTATTGTTACAAAGTTTATTTTTTTCTGTTTCAACCCTAGCTCTCTCCTCTCTTACGTTTATTCATGAGGCAGGTTGCATAAATTCATTTTTCATTTAAGGAGTGTTGGTATTACGAAGTATGAGAATCCCTGTCATATGGGTGGTAAGCCATCCAAATGTTTGTTCGCACTGGGACAGGGGTAGGCAACCTTGGCCCTTTTGTGACTTGTGGACTTCAATACCCAGAATTCCTGAACCAGTCATGCTGACTCAGGAATTCTTGGAGTTGAAGTCCACAAGTCATAAAAGAGCCAAAGTTGCCTACCCCTGCCCTAGGAGAAAGATGGGTGGTCTCTAAATTTGATATATAAATAAAAATAAAATATAAATTTGTGCCATGTTTTTGCAGTTTGGAATCATAAGCACGCATGATGTAAAGTCTGAAAGGAGTGGGGTAAGAGGAGTATTTTATGGACATTGTTTTCCAGCCCTGTGACACTTACCTCCTCCACTTTCAAAAGTCGGAATGGCTGGGAGCAGAACATGATGCAGAAAAAGTGTATTGCTGTTCATCTTGATGGTGCCTGAGAGAAGCCCACTGAAATAATGAATATACCTACCACGGAGAAATGAGAGAGAAATCCATGCGGTCATGTAAAAATAAGTGAGTCGTGTAAGAATAAGTTGGCTATAGCAGGGGTAGGCAACCTTGGCTCTTTTATGACTCGTGGACTTCAACTCCCAGAATTCCTGAGCCAGCCATGCTGGCTCAGGAATTCTGGGAGTTGAAGTCCACGAGTCATAAAAGAGCCAAGGTTGCCTACCCCTGGTCTATAGGAAGCTAACTATCTTGACACCAACATCTTCTCTCAGCCTGGTGCTCCCAAAAGCCATCTTCCTTAAATGCCATCCACATAGGCAAATGCCCAATTACAAAGTTTTAACCCTTTTGCACTTACTGGTTTTAGCCTATAATTAAATATACCTAATCTTTAAATTGTAACTTTATTTAGTAGCATGAAACATTTCAGTATGTATTTACTATATTTTTAGAAAACAATACCCTTAACATGTATGAGGGAACATCTCTCTAATATCAGAATCTAATAACAGACATTAAAATACTGGTTGTCAGGTAAGAACTGGAGGGTAAAATGAGTTTCATAAAAGCTAATGGGATCTGTGAGGGGGAGGGTATGTGTGTAAGATGACTTAAACCTCTATAAGGATTGTGGTGTTATGATACAAGTTGTTCCACCCTTTTTTATGGGCATTACAACATTGCCTACATGTACAAAGAACAGTTTGTGGCATGACACTGCAACACAACTTTCATCAATCTGATTAAAGAAGAGTTCCTGTGGGTGCTGATGATAGAAGCCATGAAAATGACTCTCATAATATCATTTGTTTTCAAAACTTCAGCCAGGCTGGCTAGGAAATTTGAAAATTCCATATATCTGAAAGGGACCTTTCTGTTTTTTAACAAGAAAAATCATTTCTTTGTTCCTCCCAAACGTGGATCATTTCAAAGATAATTTTACTTTCTGCTGTCCTAGATAATGAAATAGCTTCCAAAGAGAAAAATGAATATGTGACAGAAGCGCCTCTTTGACTGCCACTGCTCCACTGCTTGTATCATTGCACTGTAAATGCAGACATTGTAGTTCCAACTCCTGTAGTTTCTTGACTGAAGCATATCAGCTATGGGAAGCCAGTGCATTGAGGAATTAAACAAAACAGGTAGCCCTCAAGTTACGAATGGTTGCCTTGGTGACCATTCATAGTTACAACCTTGGGGCTATTTGTGGCCCAGATTCAAAGTTCTGAGAGTTGCCTCCCCTTCACGGAGACATGAGCGAACTTCAGCTGTTTGACAATACAACCGCATTTACGAGCGTTTGCAGCATCCCATGGTCAGGTGAACACATTTTACAACAGTTTTGCCAAAAAGCAGCACTTACTTCTGGGTTTTGGCAAAAATGTGCCCGTAGCAAACCACCGGTTCGCTTAATGATCACTGCAAAAAAGGCCATAAAATTGGGTGGTGACTGATCCATTTTATGACTGTCATGGCTTACAACTATGATGGGCAAGCTCCATTACGGTCATAACTCGAGAACTATCTGCATTTTTTAAAAAACTGTTACACAAACACTGTAATTATATTTTGGTATATCCATTGTTTTTCTGCCAGAAGACTTCTGAGCATGGAAAAACGGGAAGCACTGGATTGTTTTTGTTTAGCCTGAACTAGGGTTATGAGTCTGGGATACAAACATCTGGAGGACCACTAGAGGCCAGCAAAGAGATGGAGAAAATTGTCTTTACTGCCTTCTAAAAGTTTTCTAGTCCTTTGTATCCAGAGTCTGAACTTCTATGCTACCCATAAGAGCTGGCCATGTAACACATACCCTCCAATTCTTTTCCCAAGCATTTCTCCCAGCACCCTCTGTGGAAGCTTTAAAAGCTTCCTTCTTCAGAACTTCTGACAGACATTCTGGGGGGTGACAGACATTCGGGGGGGGGAGCTGCTAACAGTATAAGATAGAGGGTGCAAGACTCACCTCTTCTGCGATGGTTGGAGGGAGGCAGCTACTTTGTCTTCACAGAACTTGCGCATGGTTAGTGTGCTGAGGGCCTGGTCTGCACTGAGGAGAGAAGACAAGGAATATAGAGTAGCGTTTATACATTGGCAGGTTATACAACAGACATGTTACACATACATTCGGCCCACCAAAAATGTAGCTTAAGAAGAAAGCTGGAAAATGAGACTGAGGAAGGAAAGGAGAAGAAAAAAGCAGCTGTCGGTGCTAGAGTAGCCCATCTCTCGTTCTCCCTTGATCAATACCTTGCAGAGATTTTGCTGTAGTACATGTAAGAGGCTACGATCACACCCGTCTTGCCCTTGTTGCCCTGGCACAAAGAGAGAACATGTTAAACATGTTAAACTGGCACTGGAATGACGCACTGTGACTATAAATTCGGGAGTGCAAACAGTTTTAGCAAACTATAACAGCCACCTTGGAGTGGTGGTGGAAAAAGCACAAAAACAGGAACGCGAAAGGAGATACAGCATTTTTTGCCTACATTCACTTTATTTGTTTATTGGATCCGGTTTGTATAAATATAGTTCATTCAATTTGTATGTCTCCATAATCTCACTACCCTGTCAGTTGGAAGCCATTCTGCACCACCTCTACTCATGAGGGAGAACTATCCAGTATCTGGTCTCCTCCTTCTTTGTAAAGATGGTGAAGACTAAGCTTTCCATGGAAGAAGTTCCAGGCTGTCCAAAAAAGCCTCCAAGGAAAGTTTTTGAACAGTTGCAATTGAAAGTAAAACAGAGATGGAAAAAATCCATTTATTATACTTAACAAAATGAGAATGGACCCAGAGAATGGTTATTCAGCCTGATCACTTAACAGACATAATTAGGGGGGGGGGGGAAGCCAATTTTGTATATTATTTCCTTCTTCTCTAGCCAGTCTGGGAATGTAAAATCTTTCTTCACTTACCAATAGCTTAAAAAATGAAAACAAGTTCAATGTCTTTAAGGAAATCACTAGAAAGAGGTGGGGAATGCTGATTAAGATTCCAGCTCTCATAAAATAGAGGAAAGTTTGTATGATGCCACTTCATTACAGTAAGGATTTTGGCAGGCATATAGGCTTTCAATGTTTGACTAATGAATTGGATAACCTGATGTCCTGCTTTCTATAAAAAGAATAAAGCAAAGGTATACATTCAATGGAGGTTTTCTCATCAGGCTAAGTCTCTGCAGTTGTCTTACCTTTCTCAGAGGACCTTCTGTCTAGGCTGCTGACTTTGAGGACATACAAAAACCACTCGGTTAATGATCCCGGAAAGCCAGTATCTCATCCCTTTTTTTTCCTGACAGCAAGAAGTGTCCACTGTCTTACTCCCCCTTGGATCATTATATTTCTCCCTTATATAAATATCCACAACAGCCAGAAAGTTGGGAAGATTTTTCTCTGACCTTGCAGTGAAGGACAGCCACGTGCTGAGGGTCTGAATTTAGCCAGGTCTCCATGGCTTTGCAGATGGAACAAATTTTGTCCAGAGGTGGAGCATGCAGATCTGGCCAGCCAAAATCTTGCACCTGGACCATCAAGGAGAAAGAAGTATTGGATTTAAGAACATGCTTACGTATACTGAGAGAGGGGACAAGCTTTGGGAGCTGGTGAGTACAATGTCCTGCCTAGAGGACGGAACTCCTGTAAAGAAGCAAAGGCCCTTTCCTCACTGGGTTGAAGGGTGAAGGAAAACATAGTGACATGAAATCAGTTGGTCCCATTGATGACTTTTATCCCATCTTTATTGCCTTTGTTGCTGTCACTATAGTCACTGATAATGTGATTCCGATTATTGTTGGGGGGAAATGGGTTAGAAAGCCTTACAGGTTTTTATGCGTTTTTATGCACCTTGAAAGCGTCCCTGGATAGAGTTGGCAGTTACCATCTTTATAGCTATAAAACGCAATGAGCACTATTGGCGCTATTTGTGTAAAGAACAATGAGAATAAAATAATAATAATAACAATATGAGCTCTTGCACTATTCAACTGCTAGTTTTTAAAGGTTTAACACTTTTAATGACTCTCCCAAGTCTTAAGCCAAGTAACTTGGCTTGCTTTCAAATAAGGAGCTACACATCTGGTTTTAGGTTCAGTCTTAGGTTCAATTATGATTTTTGTACTGCCTTTCTATCTCCTTGAATTGCACACTTTATATCATACTATATAAAGCAGTAAAGAACAATACACAATACATAAGGAAAAATAGTACACAAGAATAAAATAAATGAAACTGGGATAATATATATATACAGTATATATATTTTAAAAATCAGAAAATAACCCGTATTGTATCTAAATATACCAACAAAGATGGTATATTGAACACAATAGGCCCTCCCAAACAGCTTAGCTTTAACTGCTTTCAATGAAATTACAGTCATGGAAAATTAAAATTCTCTTTAAAAATGTTGCATGATACAATTTAGTACCATATGTAAATATTTACTATGCATTGTATCTTTCCTTCCAGGATTAATGCCTGTTTTTCTCTTTTTCTTTTGATCAGCTGAGAATGAGAATGAACGAGTCAAGCTAAACTAACAATTAATTACTGTACTTTAATCACTGAAGGCAGAGCCATTTTATGGATTTCTGCCACGTGCAAGTTCAATAACCCTCTAAACAGTTTCAGTTGAGATGTAGTCCCAATTTAACGTAAGCATCTTTGTCCCAAGCTCTCATCTCTCTCACCTTGGGGTTCAACCGGATGATGTCATGGCGTTTCTCTGACAAGTTGAGGAGCTGTTGACATAAAGAAGCATCTTTAGCACTTTACTCTACCAACCCAACTTTCAGCTGATAAACTCCACCATCTTGGTCAGGATGTTTTTCAGCATGGTTATTCTTGTGACTTCACCCCAAAGGTTAACTCACTCTTTGAAAATAAGCTTGACAAAAAAGTTTTATAGCCCTCCATTCCTCTTGAAAGTCAGAATATAGCTCCTCCCCAACCCTGCCCTCCCAACATATAGGCTGCTCCTATAAGTGGACTTTATAGAGTTCTTCAAAATGGAGATATCGCCAAAATGGAGATATCGCTTTTCTCAAGATGAGATGCTGATATGAAATCATGAGATCCTGCAGGACAAAGCGACCATCATCCCTCTCTATCTCAGAGGTGAAGCATGCATTTTCCACACATTCACTCAAACCTACATAGAGATGTCAAGTTGGTTCCTTCCTTACAGTAACTCTTCTTTCCACTCAATTATTATTATTATTTGCTTATCGTCATCATTGTCGTTCTCTGCTTACCAGATACTTGTCCTCATGCTTGGATTTTAACATTTGCGCCACCTCTCGGAGATTGCTGCGGTAACGTTGTTCCTCCAAAGCAGGAGGAAAAGACACAGAGATGATACGTTCGGTGATGTAGATGAGGTCAAAATCATACTTGCGCTCCATTACGTGGTCCAGACTGAAGCTTCTGAAAGGAAGAAAAGCAGGAAGCGTAAGGGAAACAGGACTCCAGGGGTCCACAGAACCACAATGAGCACTGAAGATTACAAAATAAATTAACAGGCAAAAGAACTAAAACCTACATAGTTTGCCATTTAGCAAACCTCGTTTTCAGTGGGGTCTCTCAATAACACAGCTGAAAGCGAAATATCGCAATTGTGCAGGTACCAATAGAAGAGGATATTGGTAGCTCGGGGTTGAACTGTGGGGGTCCTTGGTGCTCTCTCAGCTTAGTTGTTTACTTGCAGATGGTTCATTAACATCATCAGTACTAGAAGGGAGTAGGGTTTGCTCTCCGTTTACATATAAATGATTTGCCCTACTTAGTGTTAGTAGGAGTATTCTTGGTGGTTCCTTGATTAGGCTGTTTTTTCTTTTTCTTTTTCTTTACTGTTTGAATGTTTGCCTAAGATGATAGTTCCTTGATTGGAGTATTGTTTACTGTTTGATTGCTGTTAATCTTGATGATAATTTCTGCTTATCTGGGTATTGATTGCTGGGAAGTTGGTATTTTGGTCTTTTTGTTTCGTTTTTAGTTTTTTAGTTGTCTCTTTTGAATGGTAGGTAGATGCTGTCTATGTGCCTGTTGGTGGCCGATTTGTCCAATTGTGCAGGTACCTTAAATCAGTATTCAACAAAATCCATTTTATAGCCAGTTCTGGGAGCAACCAGTGCTTTTCTTCATGTGCTTTTCTTAAATTTATAACCTGCTACTCCATATAATGATAGAACTGGAAAGTCTTCACATGTAATCTTCTGCTCTCTGTAGAAACCACAGCATCTATGACAAATAGTCCTGACCAACTTCTGCTTAAAAACCTCCAGTGGGGGAAAAAGCACAGCAACCAATTCTTCAGTTGATAATTTGCATCAATACAAAATACAATAAATTTAAAAAAGATAGTTATATAGAGAGCTTGGAAAAAATTCAGAAAAGAGCAACTAAGATGATCAAAGGCCTGAAGACTAAAACATACGAAGAACGGCTGCAGGACTTGGGTTTGGCTAGTCTAAAGAAAAGAAGAAATAGGGGAGACATGATAGCAGTGTTCCAGTATTTGAGAGGCTGCCACAAAGAAGAGGGGGTCACGTTATTCACCAAAGCACCAGAGGGCAGGACAAGAAACAATGGTTGGAAACTGATCAAAAAGAGAAGCAACCTGGAATTAAGGAGAAACTTCCTGACAATGAGGACAATTAACCAGTTCAACAGCTTGCCTCCAGAAATCGTGGGTGCTCCATCACTGGAGATTTTTAACAAGAGGCTAGACAGACACTTGTCTGAGATGGTATTATAGGTTCTCCTGCTTGAGTGGGGGGGCTGGACTAGAAGACCGCCAAGGTCCCTTCCAGCTCTATTCTATTCTATTCTATTCTATTCTATTCTATTCTATTCTATTCTATTCTATTCTATTCAAAATAAATGTAACAGAAACACACACACACACATACACACATTTGCATATTTAGATAATTATATATAAAATTGTGACTGTTTATTGTATTGCATTTTACATTTTTTTTTTCTTCCGCTGTATTTCTTCACTCATTTTTAAGCACTTGTTATATAACTTTCTAATTATGTATATATTTCGTGGTTTTGTTCTTTTTTGCTTTTTTCTTTTTTTCTAGTCATTATTTTAAAAGCAATAAAAATTATTAAAAACTGATGGCATCTACTAGTGAGTTTCTCCTAATATTTACCGTAATCGATTGTTTCCTTGCAATGCTGATTCGTGTACTGTAGGTAAGGTTTTCTACAGCAACAGAGAACAAATCAGCTCACTTTCTGAAGTCTCCTGTCTCCAGTGAAGCAGCTGAGACACAGTTAAACCTCTCACTGATTGTGAAGGTTAGGCCTTGACTCAGAATAATTTGGTCAGTAAGAAGGCAGATGGAGGAAAATGCTTCCTTAGATCACTAGAACTGTTTAAGAAGATAAAGCTTGCTATCACAGAACAATGGATGATGAATGCATGACTTATATTCATATCTAGTCCTTATTAATGAAAATTGTCTTGCTAGGGATGAGTCAAAGGAAAAGAGGCAGTTCTGATGAACTTTGTTAAAAATTTCTCTCCGCTACTGATTTACTAATTGCATCAAAAGGAGGCAAGAGTACAAGCATGATAGGTAAAACAACTGAAGAAAAAACAGTATTTTTATTCTATATGATAACTGCAGTGAGTTGTACGCACAGAGATGGAAAGACTTATAAATTCCCACAATGGAAGAATGGATGATGAAGTTAATGGAACTAGCTGAGATGGCGAAATAAACTACTTTGATTAACAAAAAGACTTTGTCTAGCTTTGTTTTTATGTGGACACCATTTTTGGACTTTTTGCTAGAAACTTCAGGAAATGCTCTGTTAATTTTGATATTTGACAATTAGAAATGTTTATGGTTGTGGAAATACTGTGTATTGTTGGATTTGAGATCCAAAAGTTATGTATGTTATGTTTACAATTATATCGAGTTGGAAGTTACTTACCCTTTTTCTATTTCTTTTCATTTTCTTCTATTCCTTTGCACCTCCCTGTCCTCTATTTTAACTTCTTAATTCTTTGTTTGTTTTTATAGTGTTTTTATTGTTTTTGTAGAAATTTAATAAAGTGCATTTTTTTTTAAAAAAGGAGGCAACTGTATTTATCTTTTTAGAATGAAGCAAATGGTACCCAAATTCCTTCACTTTTCTCCCTCATTATTAACTTATACAACTTCATGGCATTCTCTGTTGTATCCTCCGGTGGCTGGCATCACTGACAACTGATTCAAGAAGTATTGCCACTTTCTTGTCTTTTCCCTCCCTCCCCATAGCCAAATTTAAGATGCAATGCAGTGCCAATCCATTTCCTTTCTAGTTCCAAAACAACTGGAGATACTCATGTCAGTGCATCAAAACAAGAGGAGAAAAAAAAAATCAACAGCAGAGAGGGAAAACATGAGGGACCCCATGAGAGAAAGGAAAAAGAAACATGCGTTTTCACAATAAAGAGATTCCTCTCCTTTCCAATAGTATTACTTTCAATCTGGAAATCAAAATACTGCGGCTTAGTATTTGTCTCATAGCTAGTTAACCAGCTCCTTCTCAACCAGATGGGGAAAGAAAATCATATCTAGAACTTGTAATAATTTAAAAAGGGTTCCGTAGGAGCAATTCTACATGCCAACTATTGTAAGGCACGAAATGGGACAGGACAATAGTGTATAGTATATCTTCCTTTATACCCCCTTATTTTATTTGCAAGAGGGGGAACAGTTCAGTAAGTTTCTGTGGAACCCTGTGGCAGTGGTTCTCAAACTTTTCTTCACCACGGACCCTCTTTAAATATCTTTTGTGGCCACGAACTATGGCCATGCCCCCCCAAGACTTAACTCAAGATTTAAATCGTAACATTTCCTCAAGCCTTCACAGACGCCTTGTGATAACATTGCCCCCCCCCCCGGGTCTGCAGACCACAGATTGAGAACGACTGCTCTATGGGGTTTCCTTTGCATGCAGTATTTTATCCCTTATGTATAGATTTTTTTTTCTTTTTTGCTACCTTAAAGTCAGGTTTTTTTAAACTGCTGGTGACAGCCTGGACTGCTCCTTGCATTTTTCTTAGCAAGGTTTCCCACACGTGGTTTGCTAATGCCTGCTTCCTATGGCTAAGAGAGAGTAACTGACCCAAGGTCATAAAGAATTTATAAATAAAATGTCATGAGGGTGATGAAAAACTGTGATTATTAGTAAGTATCAAAATGTTCCTCAATTCAGGTGTTCTGTGGTGGATAAGAGTGCCATTTATTATAAAAAATGGTAAACTCAGCAATCAATGTTTCTGCAGTCATAATTCCAAAACTGCCTACTATTTAAAATCACAGTGATATTTTATTCAGATCTAGTTTTGGGAAGATTTGTAAAGGGATGAAAAGGATATGAGATGACAGCAAGTCCCTTCATTCTGTGAACATAGTAGTTCCCCTTTCCTTTTGCTCCTATCGAACATGACCAATCAGAATTAGTTCTTATGCATGTTTTTTTATCCATGTTTTCTGCACTTTAAAAATAAAAGATTACAGATTCTCTTAGAACTTGATTTCAGATGACTCCATGATAGTTTTCGCAGCAACGATACAGAAGCAGTTTTTCACTGCCTCTTCCAGGATTTTTCTTTTAAATTTATTTATATGTATATGTATTTCCAAGTTTGGCTGACAAGTATAGATTTCCTGGTGGTGTCTCATCCAGGCAGTAATCAGGACCAACTGTTTAGTTTCTAAGCTCAGACAAGGTTGATTAGGAATGGGCATCTTAAAGAACAGCATTTAGACAATATGTTCTCTAAGATTTCTTCTTTGCAAAAGTTACAAGATGACCTCTGGTTACAAAGATAGCTCGCCATTAAAAAAAAAACCCGAAAAACTAAAAGCTGTTCCTCCCTCACCATCCCTGCATTTCAAGATCAGTATAATTATTTAGTATCAGACTATACCTGGGCAATGTGTTCCGTTGCTTTGCAGTGTTGAGGGATTTGGTGGAGCCCTGAAAATTATTTTTTAAAAAGGAAAGAAGTCAGCATCTAACAAATAAGCGTAGAAAAATATTGTATAAGAAGCAAGACAACAGCAGAATGAATGAAAATATTGCTGTGTAATGAAAGAGCATTTCATTTAAATTTCATTTCAAAATTAAGTAGGAAAATATTCGTAAAACACCAATTTTGGGACCCATGTTGAATATTTTACATTTCCAACTAGTGTTGGCTTTTCTAGTTAATTCTGAGGGATCAAAGATTTGTCACTTCGTCAATCTTTCCCTTGTATCTGTGGCAGTGCCTAAATAGTGCATCACTGTAGTTTTGTGTCTGTGGGCATGCCTGTAAGTCAGTATTGATTCCTGGTAGCTCCCTGGAAGAGTCCTTGCAGTTTTCTTGGCAAGGATTTTTTGAAAGTGGATTGCCCTTGCCTGCTTCTTCGGGCTAAGAGAGTGTGACTGGCTCAAGGTCACCCAGCTGGCTTTGTCCCTAAGATGGGACTAGAACTCACGGTTCCCTGCTTTCTAGCCTGGTGCCTTTAACCCTACACACCAAACTGACTCTGATCTCTGTACTAGAACAATAATATCTGGACTACTGAAATTAAGTGTCCCCCACAAGAAAGGCAAGGAGACAAAGTTGACCACCCTAATTTGACCCAAGGAATAGAAATGCCTTTTAATAATGTGTCTTGAGTTTCACATGATTTTAATGACTAAGTCACAAAATAAGCGAGGACTTTAAGTACAAAAGCATTAACTACAAAAACAAAGAAGAAAAATCTTCCCACGCTCCTAGGGATTAGTGTCAACATAATCGCTGAAATGCCAGACTACGGTCTCAGAGGTTCAGAGGAATAAGTATCAAAGAAAGTCTTACCAAATGTTCAATGCGCCGGACTGGGGCTGTATTCCGTCTCTAAACATATGGAAGAAGATGACATGTGTTTAAGTTAAAAACAAACAAACAATGAGCATTAACAATAAAATTGCAGACGATAGTGTACGTACAGTTTCAAAAAAGTTCTTGGTAGGAATGTTGCTGCTCATTGAATTGTGAGGGCTACTAACCACAGAGCTGAAGAAAAATCATGCAGTGGCAACCATGAGTGATGTTTTCCTGCTAAGAGATGCCACCCAAACAACCTTCCGTGAACACACATTTCTCCCTCCACTCAGAATCCCCCCAGGACACAGGTCACTGCTACCCAGATGTCAAAGAGTAACCCACATATCTGAGCAAAACTTTCCAGGGTTTTTCTTTGATATCCCACCTTCTTTTAACACAGAAGTAGAAACAATTTTGCTCTGGAGGCTGCAATTCTCAGTCATCCGTGTCATGGTTGTCCCAAAGGTGTTTTTTTCAGGAGGCAACTGGACTTTCTTGTTTTTTCTTTGAAGACGTTTCGCTTCTCATCCAAGAAGCTTCTTCAGCTCTGACTGGATGGTGGGGGAATGGGAGGTTTTATATTCCTTGCAGACAGCTGGTCGTTTGCCTTCTTTTAGAGAGTCATTGAGGCCACTTGGAGGTTTACCTGTGTCCTCAGGGTCACCTGGGTGGTGCAAATGGGTGTGGAGCCTTCTTGGCTGCAGGGTGTTTTCTGCCCTGTGTCCCTTCACTGTTGAAGGCAGGAGCAGGCTATTGGGGATGAGTCCGTGTGGTCTGCATCTCAAACTGACGCACAAATGGTTCCTGTAGGCTGCAATGTGTTCAGTTCTCCACTAATGTATGAGAAGAAGAGGATTTGCAGTGAAATTCAGGCCACTCCCTGCTCACACAAGAACAAAAACCAAGAAGGCAGAGCTGAGAGCAACAGCTCCAGGTTAAACAGGCTGCATGGCAATCTTGGCCTTCTTTCTTGATCCTCTTCAGAGCGTTTTCCAGTCTCCCTTGAATCTTTCAGCCTTCCCTTCAACGACACGAGCGTGACTTCACTTCTGCTGAACTCTCACCCGTAATCCCTGCACCTTTGTGAAGATGAGGTCACCCATGAATGGGGTGGCCATTCAGCGGCAGAAAACCCACTCCAATGGTTTGCCCTGGTGGCGCAGTGGTAAGAAAGCAGTACTGCAGGCTACTTCTGCTGACTGCAGGCAGTTCCACAGTTCGATTCTCACCGGGTCAAGGTTGATTCAGCTTTCCATCCTTCCGAGGTCGGTCAAATGAGGACCCAGATTGTTGGGAGCAATATGCTGACTCTGTAAACTGCTTAGAGAGGGCGGCAAAGCACTGTGAAGCGGTATGTAAGTCTCAGCGCTATTGCTATTGCACAAATGGAACAGGCACACAGTGATCCAAGTTTAGATCCAATTTTTTTGTTCCGCAGAATGCAAGCAAGAGATCTGTCACACACGTTCCTTCCTTCACACACGTTCCTTCCTTCACACACGTTCCTTCCTGCTGTTTGGAAACAGCACATGGTCACATGAAGGCCTAATTGCAAGAAGGGGGTGAAATAAACTAAAGGCAAAGAATCAGCTGATTCAAAAATGTTGCGCTGCTCCCTTTGGTATGAGATAAAATTTACAGTTTGGTTGTCGACTAAACGGATCTTCATATTCCTATCAATCTTCCTTGCTCTTGTGGAAACAATGAAAGTGTAAAAACATTTTTCCCCCATTCTCAAGTATCCACTTGCTATAATTCGTCTGAAACCTGGTTCTGAGTCAGGGAGGAAATACAGGTGGTCCTCCACTTTACAACAGTTCGTTTAGTGACTCTTCAAAGTTACAACGGCACTGAAAAATGTGACTTATGACTGTTTTTCGCAGTTATGACCTTTGCAGCATCCCCACGATCAGGTGATCAAAATTCAGATGCTTGTCAACCGATTCATATTTATGACCGTTGCTGCATCCCAAGGTCACGTGATCCCCTTTTGCGACCTTCTGACAAGCAATGGGGCAAATGGGGAAGCCAGATTTCACTTAACAACTGAGTTACTGACTTATCAACAGCAATGGCAAGAAAAGTCGTAAAACGGGGCAAAACTCACTTAACTAATGTCTCACTTAACAACAGAAATTTTGGGCTTTTGCTTTCCAACTGCATCTCAACTAAACTGGTCAGGGCAAAGTATTGTGGATCAATTCTCTAAAACCAGAGACATGGGAGATGGAGAGTAGATTGAACCATCTTTACTCCAGAGAAGCTAAAATAGGAAATATTTGATTAGTTCAACCAATATGCTATCCATTATGACTAAGCTGATCATCTAAATCAGGCAGGTCCAATCTCCAGTCCTGGACAACTAGTGATGTGGCTCACAAGATCAATCATAAACTTTTAACATTACAATGTGATATTTTTTTTAGCGATAGTTAAAATATAATATATATATATTATATGCTGCCCAAGACTATTCCTCTTCACTCAATGCGGCCCAGGCCAAGCCAAAAGGTCGGACAAGCCTGATCTAAATGGAAACCATCAGTTCAAGACATGTCATCTTGGATTTTAAAAAATGCATATATTACTTCACCAAAAGAGAAAAAGCAAAAGAGAGAGAGAAAAAGGCAAGCGTTCACCGAACAGAAAAAAGTAGCTATTTATAAAGTGTGCTGAATCGACACATGTCCAGGTTACAGCGGAAAAAGAGAATTTCACTCACAGATACACTTTGAATGAATGGTGGCGCATCTACAGAACACAGCCTGCTTTGTTCTGTGAGCAGCCCCCTGCCCTAAAATAATCTTGCGTCAGGGAGCAGGCAGCATCTTTCTGTGGGGTGGGCAAAACCTGGGAACACATTACTGTACATGGAAACATTGGGGGAAAGCGGCTTGTGAAACAACAGAAACAGCTCCAACTCATTCCTGACTAAAGATTTTCCAGCTCTTTATAAATAAGTAATAAAAGTGATAAGAATCAAACACTGGAAGTATTTTAAAGAATACCTAAATAAATCAGCAACATGAATTTTGAATTTAAAAAAAAAACCATGAGCCAGCGTACTGTATTCTAAAATATTGGAGAGGAATGAAAGAGCAGGGTATGGGAAAAAAATAAATCAATTCTTACATGCATCCAAAACTTTGCTGAAACGGGCAATTATGCAAGATCATAATTCAGAAGAGAAAAACCTCAAGGTAACCCCCCCCCTTTTAAAGAGGCAGCTATACAGAGCCACTCTTGCCGACATGTTTAGTTGCTTTACATGCACAGATCCACAGCTCACCTGTCAGAAAACAGTAAAAGCATCTTGGCCCACCTTTAATCACCAGCATTTTTATTATCACCCAAAGTCTTCAAATCACCACAAGGCCCTTTGCCAACCTCAACCAAAAGAGGCTACCCCCTCCTTTCTCCTCTGGAAAGTATTTATGTGGGTCAAGTGGGTGGCGAAAGAGCAGGCACTTACCAGTTCACTCGGAGGGAGGGGCTGGCAGGAAGATGGCACCTGGAAAAGAAAAAAAAAAAGAGATGAGTCCCAGGGCACATGGCGGTTCAGCTTTGAAGTCGGCAACATCGTCCACATCCCCCCAAAACGGAGACCTTTGCAATGACATCGGAAGATCTCCCTTTCCCCAGAGTAGGATGTGGGGCAGATGGGCAGGGGAGAAGTCTCTTGTCCCGCCCCCCGGTGCCCTTCTCCGAGAAGCAGAAGCTGCCTCCTTCCCATCTGCGTGTTTCCTTTGGCTGGGGCTGGGCCCTTCCAACAACAGCACATATACAGGCAGCAATTCATCGGGCTGCAAGACAGCACGGCCAAATCTGGCACAGGGGGTACTATAGGGAAAAACAAACACAGAAGAGCACCCCACCCAAGAGGGAAGCAACAGTGAGGCTATTCAGGCTGCTGCGTTTCCCTCTCGCCTGGTGGAACTGCCAGGGCGCTCCTTGTGACCCGTAAGAGAGCAAAGGGCTATTATGATCCCCCCCCCCACCCTTTGCCTCCTGTGGGTGAAGGAGAGTAAAGGGTAGAGACCCAGGCTGATCCTGTGATCCGGGTGAGATCTCAACCCCAGTTAGGGTCCCCCCCCCAACCATACGTTGTCCCTAACTTAAAATATACTGCTCACAAAAATAAAGGGAACGCAAACCCCTTCAGTTCCATGGTAAAATGTTCCCTTTATTTTTGTGAGCGGTATATATTAACTCCAGATACTTCCAGAAAAAGGTTTCATAAAGCCAGCATCTGGCCTATGATTCCGCAGCCATCTTCCACTTTGAACCTTCTTATTTCACCAGCAATATTTCTTGTTGATTTTTGTCTTTCTGCGGCAAAACTGCTCAGGGGGAATAAGACGGACTAGCTGCACAATGTGCAGTTGGTTTTTTGGGGGGCAACTTGTAATGCTCTGAATGGAAGCGTCATCTTTTAGGAAGCTTCTCAGAACTTTTCCTTACTTTTTTTTTTTTGGCTGGGTCATGATGAATCCATTCACTGAATCGCCATAAGATAGCCTTAAGTTGACCATAACTTTGCTGCTGTTGATGCAGTTTTTGCAAGGGTACAATTGACCAGCTTTTCTGTGAGTAGTGCAGTCCGATTACCCCTAAGGAGGGGGAGGAACCAAGCAGCTGTTGGCTAGTAAGGTTTCTAAGGACATTCTGATTTGGACAGTGGAGACTCCAGTTCTCTCCTTCTCCCCTCCATATCTTTGAGTCTAGCTCTGACTCTATGACCTAGACGCAGTGGTAGGCAACCTTGGCTCTTTTATGACTCGTGGACTTCAACTCCCAGAATTCCTGAGCCAGCATAGCTGGCTCAGGAATTCTGGGAGTTGAAGTCCACGAGTCATAAAAGAGCCAAGGTTGCCTACCCCTGACCTAGAGCAATGTGGCCAGCAGCTGACCAGCAAAGGGCAGCAAAGTCAAGGGCTGAAGTCTGATAGCAGTTTCCCCATGCTGACAAGTGTTAGTTGGCTTCTTTGAATGTTGGGTTTAGCAGACATTGGAACAGTGCTAATCTCATGTTCAAAATTCATCTTATCAGCTGATACCAGCTGATACTCCCTTTGAACACACCTACCCAAAACACTTGCACAAAACTAGAATGAGTTTTGACCGGTGGCTGAAGTTCTAATGAAGCCACCTGGAAAAAAAAAACCTCACTTCCTCCCCAACTCCAGCTCATTTGGAGAAGAGTGACAGAGGATGTTTTCCCATCAGCTGGTGACATTTGAGGAAGCAGGAGGAAAGCAAAGTCAGAGAAATCCACCTCTCCCATTTCCTTAATAAGCTGCCTACACAGTGAATAATGACAGCAGTCCTTATTGTCATTGAACTTACAGCAGGTGAGGGATCGCCAAGGGAGGCAGCAAATTGTAGGTTAGTATAGCATTTTGCTGGTTCAGTGACTGGTGGATAACACGTTAACCTGGCTGTGACAAACATCCCTCAAACAATTTTCCATCCAATTGTACTTCAGCTACTGACCGTCTCCTGCCTACATACAAAAAGGCCAGTACAAATATGCATATACACATACGTGTTTGGACATATGTCTAATCAGAATACAACTAATTCATGTCTCTTGCTGAAACCAAACAGCGTATTGAAACATATAATGGAAGGTACCCTCCACACATATAGAGCCAACTTGATCTAGTGGCTAAAGCATCAGACTAAAAAGCAGGAGACCGTGAGTTCTAGTCCTGCCTTAGGCATGAAAACCAGTTGGATGACTTTGAGCCAGTCACTCTCTCAGCCCAACCCACCTCAGAGGGTTGTTGTGGTGGGGAAATATTTGCCACTTTGAGCTTTTTATAAAAATAATAAAGATGGATATAAATAAATAGATAACAGACCAATTCCCTGGAGGATGCTACATTGCTCCCTCCTGGGTATCAATTTAACAGATTCAGGGTGGCTCTGTTGCTTGAGTTAGAGCAGGAGTGAGCCCCATCTAGTTTTTCCTGCAAAGATTCCTGTAATTTAAAGAAGGGACACCTGACCTGCGTCCAAGCAAAGCGCTAACATCAGTTTTAATTCCAATTATTTTCCATTTTTAGGAGATAAAACTGTTGGATGCTCACAGCCAAGGGCTTTATTTGGCAATATGCCTAATACAGATAATGAGCAATGCTAAGTTGGAATAATGGTGGGGAATGGGGACTATCCTCCCTAGTTTTTCTTCTGGAAGATGGGCATGTTTTAGCTGCCCATGCCAATCATGACAGCCATTCTGTGAAAGTGTGGACAACTTGCTCCCCAAATTCCACAGGTCCACACTAGCCTATCAATATTGCCTGACCTTGGGGGTTTTGCGTTGTAGCAACACACGGCCAAGGGATTGCGGAGCTCCGCACCCCATGGCTGGTTTCGCCCTGCCAGGGGACCCTAAATGGGTCTAAAATCGCCCCGGAGAGGCGATGATGGAGGGCCCCACTCCCGTCAATCACGGAAAAATAGAGGTCAATCCGTTTGATCTGGGGGAAGCCCTCCAACCCAACAGGAGAAAGGCTAGCTGCATTCCGGTGACTAGCCCAAGCTATCGGCATCTGAAGTCCAAAAGTACCAACTAAGAACAACTGTGAACAGCGTGTTTAGAACTGGGTGAGAACACAGATCTTCTCTTCTCTATTTTGAAATTGATTTCCTGGAAAAGATTCCCAAGAAGCAAAAATTCTTCTGAAAGTGAGAAGGAAGGGGATTATAACCACACCCTTCCATAGACGGAAGCGGCAAATTAATTTTTATGGGGGACAGAAATATATTGAAATGGATTAATGTAAAGCTATAACCTGGATAAAACTGAAAACTATGGAAATTGTTAAGATTTTTAATTTGAAAGAATATTGAGAAAACTACAAGAAAAGAATTTTTTCATTTTAAAAGTTGGAAAATAAATAGCTACTGACATCTAGTGGTGGATCAAAGTATAGAACTATAGCTGCCCTGCCTCATAAATTGGCAAGATGCCCAGAAATAGAGCACAACTTGGTTCTTTGATCCTCAGTTACTCTCAGCTAAATAGAGAACAGCTGGGAATAGAGGAAAGAAAATACACTGGGCTATCTATTGCAGAATGAGAAATACAATTGTTATAAAATCTGCTGACCTTCTCGGATTATAAACACTTTCTGAACTGTGATATTTAAGTTAAAGAATCGTTTGCAGAGAAAGAAAAACCTTGACTTATTGGCCACTTTTCTAGAGGGGAAATTACTGGATTGTTTTTAAGTGGTTGAACATTTTGGACTGTTCATAAAGATAAGAACTATATAAGACTATGGTGTTTGGAACTTAAGACTGATTGGCTTGATGAAAATGGACACTGAATACATAACCAAAAGTGGTAGGAAACCACACTTAATATTATTTTCTAAAATCCCCAGTCTGGAATATCAGAGATCTGCAGGAGTAATATCTTCCAGGAGGAAATGCATGCTATGTTGCAATTAATTCAAATGACAATTGTTTCAAATCATGATGAGATTAAAAATAATTTTGATGATATAAATGAGTACATCCTTGACCTAAGCTTACAATTAAAAAACCCTCAGAAAATGATGACAAAGAATGAACAACTAAATCAGACAATAGAACAAAAACCAGAGAAAAGTGACCCAAAGATGGAGGCTACAAACAAAGAAAATCACAGTTTAATACAGACAAAGAAAAATCTGCAAGATTTTGCCATAATATTGGAAATGGAAAAGACATTTTATTTTTCAGGACTTCAATACAAAACTGAGGATTAAAAAAAATCGATAAAATGGACTATAGAGCTGTCAGGAGAACCACTAGAATTTGGGAGTCAAAAGATGAAAGGACAAATTGAGAGAGAAGGAAAGTGGAAGCTTCTTAATGAATATAAATGGGCCAAACTCCCCTTCAAAAACGCCTTACTCAATTTGTCTTTCCCATTTTTAACAACATTTATAAAAATACAGGAAGAACCCCCTGGCAAGCTGAACACACAAATTCGGAAAGCTGCCTGGCAAAAGAAAAAGGCGAGAGCTAGACTCAAGAGAGATGATTTGACCTACCAGATGGAGTACTACATGACTAAACACTTGTTTGAATATGGTTAAAATAATAGTTAAATTTTGGACATGAATGAATTTTATAATAAGAGAGATATGATTTACAAGTAGTATAGTATTTTTTTATGATATGTGAAATGTAAAATACTGGGATGATTTAAATGTATGAAATGTTTTGGATATTTAAATATAATCAATTTTGAGAAAATTATAATTGACAAAGAATGTTTTGATTACTGAGGGAAAATTAAGCTTAAATTAGAATTCTGAAAACAGGGCTTATAGCGATTTACATAAGATGATTTTTTTGCAAACACAATTGTAAAGACGCTACATATTGATGTTATTGTTATTTGCATAAATATTAGAAAAATCTGTATATTCAATTTTATATGTATTGAAAATACTAAGAACTATATTTGCTTAATGTTGGCAAAAGGAGAATATTACTGGAAGAAGAGAAGAT